AGTATGGATCTTACTAACAGTTTAAAATTTGTTTCTAGGAGCAGCTAGTGGATAGAGCACCGGCCCTGAAGTCAGGACGACCTGAGTTCAAATCCGGTCTCAGACCAAACACTTGACATTTACTAGCTGTGTGACCCTGGGCAAGTCACTTACCCCCAATAGCCTCACCAAAAAGCAAAAAAAAAAAAAGTTGTTTCTACCACTGAACCAGGGTCCATGTGCTACTAAAGTGTGTTGTGCTCGCTTCTCTCAAGAGAAGCCTAATAGATGATTCTTCACTCACTCTGAGCTTGGTTTTGTTTTTAACTAGAAGGCTTTATTTCTCTAAGGCCTTATTTCTAACAAAACTGTATTTTTAAAAAAAGACCTTGAAGATAGATCAATTGATTCAAACAAATGATTTTTTTTTGACAACTTGTCTGTTGTCTTTTAGATGTCTCAAGATGTATAACTGGTATATGCCGATACTGAGCTGTATCAAATCCACTAATTTAATATTCTCTATTCTTACACATATTTGATGCTAATCGCCTTCAGATTGAACAAAAGAATAACATCAGTAACATTTAAAACAACAAATTATAAAAGTGCAATTTATGTACTCTGCAAGAGTGCAGTTATTTTTATAGGTCTTCAAGGAGAAGGCAAAAAAGGAAGTTTTCCTGGTTGAATACCCTTAAAATTTCTTTGTTTCAACTGAAATTCAGTCAGTTTCAAAGTAGAGTTCAAAACTTGTGAAACATTTAATTATTTTAAGTGGGTTCCTTGTGTTGGCAGGTTGTAGGCCAACTTAATAAAATTCTTGCTCAAATATTGGTGTGAACATATGTATAAATGGACTCATTGGGCATTAATTGACTTCCAGCATTTTGAAACCTTTGTTGCCCAGTTATTTGGTCTAGATTTGTAACTTTGTGTTCAATGAAATAATGAATCTCAAATCTGAGAAGGGTCCTAGAAAGCATTTAAAGTACTTTCTTATTTATGACTTAAAGATCTCAATGAGAATTGTATCAGAATACTTCTACTAAATTAAAAATTGTCCTCTAGAAAATCTTAGTCACTCTTTTCAGTCATTCTACTCAACAAAAAGTGAAAAACTTGCATAGGTTTGTTTTTGTTTGTTTGTTTGTTCGTTTGTTTTTTGTTTTTTGCTACATCCAGAAACAGTCTGAAAATTTCTCATTTATAGGACATTATTTTCTTTTGTTTTCTATTTTTAAGTTAATTTTTAAGGGAGAAAAAAGTCACGGAAATAAAATCTTTTAAAAAAAATAATAAAAAAGAAAGAAATCTAACTTGTAAACCCCAAGATATCTTAAAGATTTCAATGATCAAAATTTACATTCCTATGGGCAGAGTACCCGCAGGTAAGAGTATGATATCCTATGTGGACAGATGAAAGGGAAAGAAGGAAGGAAGGAAGGGAAGAAGGAAGGAAGGCAGGCAGGAAAGAAGAAAGGAAGAAGGAAGAAAAAGAAAGAAAGAGCTGTGTTGCCCAACTGGCCAGTTCCCAGTCCTCACGGAGGTGGTTGTTGTTTGTTCATGTCATCAGGGAGGTGATGCCATGACATGCTAATGAATCGACTTCACACAGCCTTCCTTCAAGGGGCTTACAATCTAATGAGAAAGCAATATACAAATAAATGTATACAAAGCAAGCTGTGTACAGGACAAATAGGAAATAATTAAAAGAGAGAAAGCCTTGAAATTAAGAGAGATTGGAGAAGGCTTCCTGTAGAAGATGAGATTTTAGTTGGGAGGTCAGGAGTCAATGCTACTCTTCTCACAATTTTTTCTTGTAAAATATAGCTATTTTTCATAAAAATATGTTATTTATGTTAATGTGTAGTGTTAATAGTAATGGGTTTACTGTTGTTATTTTAATGAATTAAATATTTGTAAATTTTGTTTTAATTTCTAATATGGCAAATATTGATAAAGATAATCCACAAAAACAAAAGAGCAGTGCTGATGTAGTCAAGAACACCATAACTAAGTTATGCAAATCCCTCTGGGCTGCTTCTGAGAGATTTCCAAAAAGAAGAGATGGCATAGAGCTTCCAGCTTAGATGTCAGTGGGAGCAGCCCACTGTGACTGTGACTCAGAGAGAGAGAAGCAGCCCCTTGATATATATAGACTTGGGAGTCATATGCAGAGTTTGAGAGAAGGTGTAGTTGCACAAATGACCTCATTCGATCCTGTTTCCTCCAGCACGTTCCCCCCTTTATCATCCCCACTCTCTTATATTTTAGGGTTGTTGTGAGACTAAAATGAGATAATAATTGCAAAGTATTTAGCATAGTGCTTGGCACATCATGGGCTGGCCATCATCATCATCATCATCATCATCATCCTTATCCTCATCCTTCTCCTCATCATCATCTCTCACTTACCTTCAATCTCTTCATGACTACTGGCTATTTTCCTGTTACCTACAAACATGTTCGTGTCTCTTCCCATCCCCCCTCAAAAAATCCTCACTTCATTCATACAAATTACCAAGGGTCATTTTTGTTGTTGTTCAGGTGTTTTTCAGTTGTGTCCGATCTCCATTTGGGGTTTTCTTGGCATGTACTGCAGTGGTTTGTTGCTTCCTTCTCTAGCTCATTTTGTAGATGAGGAGACCGCGGCAAACAGGGTTAAGTGACTTGCCCAGAGTCAGACAGCTAGTATTTGAACTCAGGTCTTCCTGACTCCAAGGCCAGCTCTCTATCCACTGAGCCACCTACCTACCCATACCAAGGATCATAGGACATAGAATTTAGAGCTGTAAGGGACCTTAGAAATCCTCTAGTTCATAGGATCCTGAATTAAGCCCTTTCTCCCACCTTCATTTTACAGAGAAGGAGATTGAGCCTCAGAGAGATTAATTGATTTACCCAAGATCTGGGCAATAAATATCAAGTCTGGCATTCAAACCCATCTCCTCTGATTCAAAATTTAGTTACAGACAAACTAGTAGGAGCCTTATGGACCCTTCCTAAGACTACATTCCATTACTTTGTGTTTATCTTCTACTTTAAGATTTAGCAACTTGGGGGCAAGGATTATTCTTGTGTTTGCTTTGTATCACCATCACTTTGCACGATAACTGGTGCAAAGTTAAGTGCTTAATAAATACTTGTTGACTGATTGATTTCACATTCTTCTTTCTCACTTGCTTTACATTCCACCCAAACTTGCCTATTTGACCTTCCCCATTTATAACATTCTCCATCCAGCCTCCATGCGTTTGCATAGACTATCCCCCATTCCCTCTCATCACTGGGCCAGGACCTCCAGAGACCAAATCTCCTCAGCCACTCAGCTTTGGAATTTCTGCTCTGAGGTTGTGCAGTGTTGATCGGGAATGTCAGAGCACAAACTCACCCAGCCCATTATATCTAACAGCATCCAGATGGCCAACTCTGCCTGACCCTGGCTATGCCATCTGCCCTGTGGCAGGCATACACATCCCCTTGCCTCCTCTTACTCTGAGCACAGTAAGCAAATCAACATTACTGTTGCTTCTGGAAAGAGCATCATAAGCAACCTGCTCTACAGCCCCACTCACCATCCCTGTGACTTCCCAGGCCACAACACTCATCTCTGGCTACCTGTGTGCATTGTCTCCTATTATCAGGATGTCAACCCCTGAAGGACAAAGGCTATTTCCCTTTTGTATATGAATCCCCAGAACTTAGCACAGTACCCGACACAAAGTAAACACAATAAATATTTTTTTACTGATTTCAAACATCATACGAACTATGTAAAAAATAAGTATTTATTTATGTAGTGTTTATGTAGCATGTGAGGCGTATCTTTCACACCGACATATGGGGAGTCCTAGAAGAGCTATACCAAGTTCAAAGTACTTTACGGATGCATATTCACTCAAAAATCATAGCTCATGAGTCCCCACCATGCGTTTACTTTTTAAAGGCAGCTAGGTAGCACAATAGATAGAGTGCTGGACCTGGAGTGTGGAAGGCCTGAGTTCTAATTCACCCTCAGATACTTAAGAGCTATATAGTACTAGGCAAGTAATTTAATCTCTAACTGCCTCAGTTTCCTGATGTGTAAAGTGAGGATAATAATAGCACCTACTTCACAGGATTGCTGTGAGGATTAAATAAGATATTTGAAAAGTGCTAGTAAGTATTTAACGACCAGCTCTCCAAAAAAAAAAAATACATGACAGACTTTTAAATTTAATTGGCAGTACTAACATTTTTCTCCAGCATTTTCCTAAGGCTAGACAACCAACAAAACAATGTATAAATGCCTGATTTGTATGTTTGCTGATTTCCAAGGTGTGACTGCTCACACTGAAAATTTAACAATCAGCTCTCAGCAGTTACACCCTTGCATAGCTATCCAGTAATACAGACAATTCTCCCTTTATGTAAGTGGACAGGTCAGGAGACCTCTAGTAAAGTGATTTTTTTATGTGATGAGGATTTGCTCCCAGACAGAGAGAAGAGAGGGAGGGAGGCAGGGAGGCAGGAAGGAGGCCAATACTCATGGAGATAGAGGGCTGATACATGGTTCAAGGAGATGTGGGGGCCAAGGACAGTTGGAGATAGACAGACATCTGGGGGCTGGGGGAGGGGTAGATCGAAGCAAAGGTCTCCTCTCTCAGTGGGAGGTCTCAAGCTAAGCCTCCATCCTGCTGCAGCATTTGTCTGCTTTTACTTGGAGGGTTTGGGTTTTTTTGGGGGGGGGGGGGGGAGACTGAGGAGTACCTAGTAGAGAGGTAGGAGCAGAAAGAGATCACAGTACTGTAAGGTTAACATAGTTGGTTTTTTGGAACACAGAATTCTTTACCTAAAGTCCAATTTGTGTACTATGAATTTACATCAAGTGAGAATTGTCTGTGTGCGAGTGCTGTATCAATCCCAGTGTGCATGTGTGCACAGAGACCCATTCATACACAAGCAGTCATTCATTTATGGATTCATACCCAGGGGAAGAAGGAGGACTGGCCATAAGAGATTGATTTTCTCTCCCACAGGTCAATTCTGGCACATCTCAGATCTGCACCTTGACCCAGAATATAATGCCTCCCGTGATCCACTAGAGGTGTGTCCATCGGCAGGTTCCCAGCCAGTGTCCAGCGCAGGTGTGTGGGGTGATTATCTTTGTGATGCGCCCTGGATCCTCATCAACTCTTCCATTTATGCCATGAAGGCAATCTTGCCCAGCCCGGACTTCATTCTCTGGACTGGGTGAGAACCTCTTCCTTAACAGACATGCTGAATTCACCATCTTAGTTTGGAGTCTTAACAACACAGCCACAGCGTGGTAAGAGCCCAAGGGACCTTTTGTGCCCGTCTTGTATAACTGCCTCAATGACTATCTCAGCTTCAAGCCAATGAAGCACTCACTAAGTACCTACCAATCAATAAACGTTTATTAACCACCTACTATGTTCCAGGTACTGAACTGAGCACTAGGGATACAAAAAAGAGGCAAAAAACAGTCTTGCCCTCAAGGAGCTTACAATCTAATGGAGGAGACAACATGAAAACAAATATATCCAAAGCACTCTATATGCAGGATCAATAGAAAATAATTAACAGAGGGAAGATGCTGGAATTAAGAGGGGCTAGGGAAGGCTTCCTGTAGAAGGTAAGATTTTAGCTGGGACTTAAAGGAAGCCAGAGCGGTCAGTAGTCAGAACAAAGGAGGGAGAGTGTTCCAGGCATGGGGGAGAGCCAGAGAGAATGCCCAGAGCTGAGAGATGGAGGGTCTTGTTTATGGGACAGCCCTGAGGCCAGTGTCACTGGACTGAAGAGTATGTGTTGAGAAGTAAGGTGTAAAAAGAATGGAAAGGTAAGAGGGGCCTAGGCTAGGAAGGTTTCAAATGTTGCTGGTTTTGCCTGGACTGCATTTAGCTCAGAGGAAATAAAGATTAGATGGGGCACCAACCCTACCTTCATAGTGATTGCAACACAGTGAGCTATAGCGCCTACATTTATTCCCCTGTATACAGAAATGAATAATACATAGTCCTGGCCAGGAAGGAAGGAAAGGAGGGAGGGAGGAAGGAAAGGAAGGAAGGAAAGAAGGGAAAGAAAGAAGGAAGGGAAGGAAAAGGAGAGGAGAGGAGTATCATGTGCCTATTTTGTGCCAAACATTGTGCCAAGCACTTTACAAATATTATCTCATTCCATCCTCACAACAACACACAACACCTGGAAAGTGGGTGCCGTTATTATCTCCACTCTATAGATGAGGAAACTGAGACGGACAGAGGCTAAGTGACTTTTCCAAGGTCACACAGCCAGTGACTATCTGAGGCTGCATTTGAAATCAGGTTTTCCTGACTCCAGGCACAGCCAAAGAGCTTACAGTCTAGTAAGAGGATGGAATCAACTGCACAAATAACTCCATCTATGCTTATGGCAGTGATGAGGGTTAGACCTCAGATGTAATTGAAAGGTAGACATGAAAGGGATAGAAAGGTACATTGCCTGTGGGCAGAGAGGTCTTGTGTTCCAATCTTCACTGGCTGTCCCCGCTCAGTCCTGCTTAACCAACTAGGCTGCACTGAAGGGTGCAATTCTTCTGAAAAAATCCTTGAATCTCTTATAGAGTTATGATCATTCTGGGAAATCTGTGATCCCTCTAAGAAATAGGATTTGAAGCAGAAAGACACTTTTGAGCTCACCCTAGAAGCAGAGAAGATTTTATTTCACGTATGCCTTTGGAATTTTGGGTCTTCCAAGGAATAAAGAAACTGTCATGGATTCTTGTGTCCTAGTAATCAAGCATCACCCTTTGATTTTGTCTTATTGCGTGTCTAGGCAGGGGACTGCCTCATCTTGTCTGATGCCAGTATAGTCTTGAAGGTGTGTGTTCAGATTGATTGGACAGCTCCCGGTTCCCTGGTCTGCCAGGGACACCCAGCAGTTCTGAGAAATTAGGTTAGTTTCAGGGTGTAGAGTCAAAATGATATCCTGGAAAAAATAAAAATCAAACCAAAAATGCCCCTTTGTGTCTGAGGCCTACTCTCTAGTACATCTAAAACCTTGGAATTTATGATCTAAGGAAAGTCTCAGGAAAGACTGTGAACTCCTCATTAGATTATAGGCAGGGATTGTTTTTGCCTCTCTGTGTTCTGAGTGCTTAGCACAGTACTTGGCCCATAACAGGCACTCAGTAAATGGTGGTTGGGGTGGTGGTGTCTAGGACAGAGGAGGAGGGGAGAGAGGGGCTGTGGGAATTCCTGAGGCAGTTCTTACATTCCTGAGCCAAGTTGGGGTAACTCAGCTTTCAACCAGAGTCCTGAGTTGAGGCCAGATTCCTGGGATTCTAGGGAATAAGACTGGTATGCCCCTGGTGTTTTCTTCTCTGAATCAATGGGCCCTAGTTGAGTATACATTGGCCTTTTCTCTGCCATAGTATCTCCACCATAATGGGCTACACAGTTTGTTATCTCAGGCTCCCCATCCTTTCCACAGAAATGCCTTCTGTCCCTCTGGTCTTACATTCTGCATTGGTGTGACTTTTCAGTGATGACACGCCTCACGTCCCTAACGAGAAACTGGGAGAAGAAGCCGTGTTGAAAATAGTGAAACGTTTGACAGAGCTCATTCAATTAGTATTCCCAGGTATGATTCAACTAATTAATGAAAACTACTTATTGAGGACAGGGTTCATTTTTGCACACCAGCTGTATGTTTCACAGACCTACGATTTCATTGGGAGGCACACGTCTTCCTCCAGTACACATACACCCGCCCCATGCCTTAGCAGGACATTTTCATGACTTGCTATGGCCAAATAAAATAAAATAAAATAAAATTATCGTTGGTGGCAGGCAGTCTTCTGCTCCCCCATTCTTCCCCAACATGTCCTCAGGGTCACACCTTAGCATGAGCTGTTAAAGTTTCTGCATTATTGGAATAGCCTTCAAGACCATGGCCTCCTCTGTGCCGTGATGAGGCATGGGAGGAATGTTCTAATGGAAGGTTAGGGGCTCTGTGGGATACACAAGAGTTAGAGGAAAGGTTCTTTCCTACAATCAATCAGCAAACGTTTATTAAGCACCTACTCTGTGCCAGACACTGTGCCAAGTGTTACAAATACAATGACAAAAGTGAAATAGTCCGAGCCCTCAAGTAACTTATAGGAGAGACAAGCTACTATATAAAGGATAGCACAAAAAATACACACAGACTAGAGGGAGGGTAATCGTATGGCACTAGCAGCTCAGACTGCAGAGACAGAGAGAGGGAGAGGGAGAGGAATGGAAGGGAAAGGAGTAAGCATTTATGTAGAGCCGACTATGTGCCAGGTGCTTTACAAATATCACCTCATCTGATTCTCATAATTCTATGAGGCAGGTGTTGATATTATCCCCATTTTCCAGTCGAGGAAACTGAGACCAATAGAGGTTTAAGTGACTTGCTCAGGATCACACAGCTAACAAGAGTTTGAGGTTGGATTTGAACTCTTGGCTTCAGGCCCAGTGCTCTAACCATTGTGCCACCTAGCTGGTTTAGATGGATTTCTCAAGGAGTTTAGTTGAGAAGGGGAGGTGAGAGGTTTGTTTTGGTTTGGTTAACAGGGGACAGTTGGATGTTTTGGTAGGCAGTAGGGAAGGAGCCAGTAGTCAGGGAGAGATTGAAGATTAGAAAGAGAGTGAAGATGATAACGTGGACAATCTGCTGGAGAAGACAGGAGGGAACAGGGTCAAAGGCAGAAAAGTTGGCCTTGACGAATGAAGGTCTGCCTTACCGTCAGGAACCTTACCATCAGGAAGAGGGCAAGAGTGGGAGATGACATCAGAAAGATGTGAGATGAGGAGGAGGGGAGATGAAATATGAGGTGAGGTCCTCAGTAGAGAAGATTTGGGGAGGGAATGGTCTGGGAGGTAGGAGGAGAGGAGAAAGTGTTTGCCACAGCTTCTGCATAGGATGAAATCAGAGAAGAGGAGTGGAATTGCCTTGTTGTATAGTGAGGGGCCAGGGGAGATTAACTAGCATAAGTTGGTAGTAAACTCAATCAGTACGATGTCATAACTTCCACAAGATGCTTGCAGTGCGGTTGGGAAAAGACAGGTGAACCATACATATCTTGAAAAGGGAGACCCAACATGACACCAGGGCTTCTGGAGGACCTGCAGCCGAAGAGGTCAGCTCCAGCTGGTCATTTGAGATCTGCATGTGATGTGACAAGTTCAGGAGGCTTCCTTGCTGATGGACAGTGCGATCTATTGATAGATCCTTCTATGGTCAAGGCCCCTTCTCTGCTTTCTTTGTATCAATCGGCCCACCAATCGTTCAATCATCAAATATTTATTAAGCAGCTACTATATGCCAGGCCCTCTGCTAGATACTGGGCATAGAAAGACAGAAGGAAAAACATTCTAGGCTGGATAAATGGATCCAGGAATCATCTCCATAGAAATAATTGAACCCATCTCATTAGATTCTGATGAGATTACCAAGTGAGAAACAACATGTACATATACAGGTGTGTGCGTACACATATATACATATATGTTTATGTATATATGTGTATTTTTCTGTTTACTAAGGTATATATGCATCTCTCTCTCTATATATATACACATATATATGTATGTATGTATGTATAAATCACAGCTGTTATGGGTAAGAGTTCAAACTTTATGTTCAGTGTCCATTGGTCACTGCCTTCCCTCCTCATCTGTCCAAATTATCCCAAGGTTGCGCATTCTGTTCTTACATTAGTTTTCCCTGACTTTACCCAAGGAGGTGGCAAATGGAAGTTACAAGATTTCCTTGAGTAAAGGTTTGAGGTTTTATCAATAAACTTGGCCCCTCTGATTAGAAGCTTACATCTACCATCTTGCTTTTGAGGAGTTCAGAACATTTCTGGATATCAGCGATTATTATAGTCATTTTTGAAATGGGGAAACAAAGGTACCAATTGTGGCTTTTTCAGGCAGAGTGAATGTTGAAACTATGACCAGAACTCAGGGTCTTTGGGGGGGGGAGGAGACAATCAAAGTTAAGTGACTTGCCCAGGGTCACACGGGTAGTAAGTATCTGAGGCTGGATTTGAACTTAGGTCCTTCTGACTCCAGGGCCAGTGTTTCAACCAAACTGTCCTGCCTTCTCTCCCTAATCAGTCAAACTGAGACCTGGGAAAGACTCTAGCTTAAAAAGGCCAAGGTCCCCCGCTGCATCCATGTCTGGCCACGGGATCCAGTAAGCTCTGGAGGAGAAAGTGAGGCCAGTGACCTTGCACAGCCCTTCCTCACTTAAATCCAATTCACTTCCACGTCATGGCATCACCTTCCTGATGTCAGGGTCCTCTTCGAGAATGAAGGACAAACAACACCTTCTCTTCCCTGAATGTGGCAGTCCATTTTCCAGCTCTGTGCCTTTTCACAGGCTCCCCCCGCCCTGATGCCTAGACTGCCCTCCCTCCTGCTCTCTGCCTTTCGGGATCCCTGGCTTCCCTGGAGGCTCAGCTGAGGTGCTGCCTCCCATGGGAAGCTTGAGTTACTTCCTTTAGGCCTTAGTGGCTCCCCCACCCCACCCCTGCCGCCCCTTTAAATGATCGTGTATAAAATGGTCTCCATCTGAAGATAACATAATAGTATATTTACAAAACTCCAGAGAATAAGCCTCAAAGTGGAGACAATTAGTACCTTCAGCAGGGTAACTGGATGCAAAATTAATTGGCAAGAATCATCAACATTTCTGTACTGTACTAACAAAAACAAAAGAGAAACCACAGTAGAATAATATATGTGAAATGCTTTGCAGACTTCTAAATAAGTGAAGTGCTATTTTTATTACTACTATTATTCAAGCAGAGCATGGACAAGGTGAAGGAACGTGATTCCAATAAAATACAAACCCGCCGCTGCTTCCTCAGTCACTGCGGGGAGGAGGGAGGGGGGAGCCGGGACAGATTGATCAAATGGGTTGTTTTTTTATTACATCTATAGTTCAGGCATTCACATTATCTCTTTTCCTCTTTAATGAAGATAATTTTAAGAACGACATTTAAGAATGTTCTCCATTTTCACTTTGTATTTTCTCCCTAGAAACGAAAGTCTACGCTGCTTTGGGAAATCATGATTTCCATCCCAAAAACCAGTTTCCAGCTGGAAGCAACAATATATACAACCAAGTAGCAGAATTGTGGAGGCCCTGGCTTAATAATGAATCGATATCTCAGTTCAAAGAAGGTACTGAACGGTAGAGAAAAATAATACTTGGGTATCATCTTATGCAAAAATGGTGCATGTGACGTAGCTTTGGTCGGACCCATGTGGGTTTAGATGTATTCTCAAGTTGAGTTGGTTTCTCTGCATCTGGAGTAGGATGTATGACCCCTCTGCAGCCTCTCACTCAGACCCTTTCTGAATTACAGAGATGGCAGAGTGGGGCCAGGAATGCTTTCTGGGGCCCTGGAACAGAAGGAAGTACACTTTCTTTAGTTTTCTAGCCCAGGTGGGGATTGTATCCATAACCTTGGCCTTACTAGCAGCAAACTCACCAACTTCAGAGCTCAAGAGCCACAAGCAATAGTACCAGAAAGAGTCACACTGAAGACAGTGCTGAGAATATGGGACTGTCTAGAGCAGGGGTGGGCATATCCCCTGTGCCAGGGCACCAGGGCCATCTTGTTGCCGTTTCATGGTGTGTGTTGTGGTGGCACCATCTCAAAGAATTCAGTCAGGCCACCGCTAATCCAAATATAGGCATTTATTGAGGATTGACGCCCCTCAGAAGTGGGCTAGGTTCCAAGAGGAACCAGCAACTTAGTAAAACAAGACAGGCAAATTGATAGTGTAATGATGCTGATTACACAACAGAAATTATGAATATTAAAAAGGTGGGAGGGATTTGTTAAGGGATTAGGTAATAGGGGAGGGGCCCTTCTATGGTTCAGAGGTCAAACATCCTGGTCATGCTGCTTTCTGATTGGCTAGCTATTGCAGTCCTGTCTGATCAAGATGGATAGTTAGGTATTGTGGTCCTGTCTTGAGCTAAATGAATGATGTGATTGTGGTTGAGTATAAGGACACACCTGTTCAAATACGTGAATTGAATCTGGGGGCAGTGGCTAGCCAGGGGCAGTGACTATATTGAGTCTGGGGGCAGTGGGGCAGTCAAAGCTAGATTGTGTGGTCAAATCAGGACATGCCTACTGTCCAGTGGGGCCCCTAAGGAAGTTAGAATATTGGGGCTGGGGGCAGCTTTATTAGGATTCCATCAATCTAATCACCAAGCCTTGTATTTGGCTTGCAGTCTTATTCCAAATTTCAGAAAAATGCTTTCTTCCAGTTCATGTACATACACATTTTACTATCATAATGACTTGAAAACAGTTTAAAAAAAAACAAACAAAACAAAATAACAAACCCAGGTAGTACCACTAGATGGTGGCAGCAGCAGGAAGTTGCTTGGGATCTCTGTAGGCAGCTGCTACCCAGCCATCCCACTCCCTCCAGCTTGGGTTTGGGCTCTGCACCCGGAAGGCAGGGATAGAGAAGGGAAGAAGAGAGGGAGAGCAAGGCCAGGGGAGGGAAGGGTGCTTCCCGATCATCAGAGCCTTTACCTGTCCTATATATTGTCTAGGAAGTACACGGGTAGGGTATACTTTTTGAGCCTTTCCAGAGGATTATTTGAGACTCTTCTGTAGAACCTCATTAATACTAAAGTTCAATGAGTCCAGACCTGAATGCCAGGAACCAGTGCCCAGGATACCTTTTTATTTACCCTATGTCCCTTCACCCCCACTTAAAAGCCAGAAAATGTATCTGGCTCCCTAATTTGAGGGCTATTGTCTTGGATCCAAAGCAGATTCGCCCCCCCCCCAACTTAATAGTATTTTATTTTTTTCCAATTATATGGAAAGATAGTTTTCAGCACTCACTTTTACAAGGATTTTGAGTTCCAAATTTTTTTTCTCCCCTCCTTTTTCCCCTCTCCAAGATGACATGCAATCTGATATAGGCTATACATGTACAATCAAATTAAACATATTTCCACATTAGTCATGTTGTGAAAGAAGAATCAGAACAAAAGGGAAAAACTACAAGAAAGAAAAAAGAGAGAGAGAGAAAATAGTATGCTTCGATCTGCATTTAGACTCCATAGTTCTTTTTCTGGATGTGGATAGCATGTTCCATCTTGAGTCTTAGATCCATGTATTGCTGAGAAGAGCTAAGTCTATCAAAGTTAGTCATTGCACAATGTTGCTGTTACGTGTACAACATTCTCTTGGTTCTGCTCACTTCACTCAGCATCAGTCCATACAAGTCTTTCCAGGTTTTTCTGAAGTCCACTTGCTCATCATTTCTTATAGCACAATAGTATTCCATTACATTCATAAACCACAACTTGTTCAGCCATTCCCCAACTGATGGGCATCATCTCAATTTCCAATTCTTGGTCACCACAGAAAGAGCTGCTATAAATAGTTTTGTACATCTGGGTCCTTTCCCCTTGTTTATGATCTCTTTGGGATATAGACCTAGTAGTGGTATTGCTGGATCAAAGGGTATGCACAGTTTTATAGCTCTTTGGGCACAGTTCCAAATCCAAAGCAGATTTTTGGGGACAAAGAGGCTCAAGTTGAGATTTTTCTGACTTGTTCTTCCTCCCCAGGCAGAAAAGCGTTGCAGCATCTTTGATAGGCAGCACTTCAGCTCCACCAGGAGCAGTGGTGCCTTGGATTAGCGAGGTTTCCAGTGAAAGGTCACTTACCCAGAAGAATACGCAGCATAAGATGTCCCATATGATAGTGTGCCAATAAGGAGACCTCAGTTGCTGCTGGGGATACAGGAGGGAGCAGAAGTCCTGTGGTCCCTGGGAAGGGATGAGGCAAAGGAAGACGGAGCAAAGCATGCCTAACCAAGTCCACATGTTCTTTAGGGAGTTAGAAGGTTGGCACTGGAAGGCCTAAGAGATCACTCCAGTCTGAGCAGTCATCCTGTAGAGGAGGAGACTGAGCCAGAAGAAGGGGAGAGCCCTGCCCAGGTTCAAGCAGACAGTTAAGGGCAGAGCCTGGTCTTCAACCCAGCTCTCCTGACTCTGAGTCTCCAGGCTCCTGACTCCCAGGCATCCTTGTTTCCACTTAGAGCTGACAGAAAAGGTAGCATAGGCCTCGGCACACGTGTCCTCAGGAGCACACACATGCCTTGTGTTCAGCCCTCTCTCTTGATATGTCACCCCAGGTGCCTTCTACACAGAGAGGCTGCCTGGTCCAAACAAGACAGGACGCATCGTGGTCCTCAACACCAATCTGTACTACAGCAGCAACGAGCAGACGGCCGGCCTGGATGACCCGGCCAGCCAGCTTCGGTGGCTGGACGATGTGCTGAACAATGCCTCCAGAGAGGGAGAGAAGGTAAGTACGTGGCTTTGGAGGGTGGCAGCCTATAGCCCTGGCCTCCTCCCATCCTCCTGACCTCTCCTTCATTTAGTAAACATTTATTGAGGACCTACTCTCTGCAAGGCTCTGTGTTCCTGGGGAAGATGCAGAGGTAAAGAAAGCATCATTCCTCCGGGGCAGTCAGGTGGTGTAGTAGGCAGAGTGCTGGGCCTGGAGTCAGGAAGGCCTGAGTTCGATTTCTGCCTTGAACACTTACTAGTTGTGTGACCCTGGCCAAGTCACTTAACTTTTTTCAGCCTCAGTTTCTTCATCTGTAAAATGGGGATAACAATAGCACCAACCTCCCAGGATTGTTGGGAGGTTCAGAAGAGATACATGAAAGTACTTTGTAAATTTAAAGGGCTGTATAAATGATTATTATCAGTTATTAGAATCTTAATGGTAAGGGAAGGGTCCAACCCTTACCTTAATAGGAATCTCTTTATCATTCCCAAGGCTTGGTCATCATTTATACTTGAAGACCTCCACTGAAGGTGGTTCATTTCATTTATGGATAATTCTAATTCTTAGGAACCTTTTTCCATTTGTTAAATCTGATCCCCAACACCTAGCAGAGTGCCTGGTATATAGAAAAGTGCTTAATAAGTGCTTGTAGATGGATTAATTGGATTTTCACATATGTATGTATGTATATATATATATATATTATATATATATATATCTGTGTATGTATATATACATTTCTCTGTCTCTCTACAAATCAAATTTCTCTTCTTTCTAATGGCCTTTCTTTACTTGAAGATAATAATTATTTTCCCTCCAAATTTTTTCTTCTCCAGACTAAGTAGCCCCAGTTTCTTCAGTGGATCTCTCCATGGCCTGGTTTGGAGTCCCCTTGGACCCCTGGGTCCCCCCTCTAAATGGCCTCAGTGTCTTCATGTTTTTCCTAAAATGTGGTGCCTAGAACTGAGTACAATGTTCCAGATGTTGTTGGACTGGGGCAGAGTGCAGGTGAAATAGTTACCTCCCTCATTCTGGACAATGTCCTCCTCTTAATGCTGCCTAAGTCCACGTTGATTTTTTTTCTCTTTAGCCACTGTGGCATTTTATATAAGTAAATAATGCAGTGGGTATGATGGGGTAGGGGCCCAAGCCGAGACCTTTGCCCCTTACCCCAAAAAAGAATTTGGGACCCATTTGTCTGCGGGCCCTAGAAAACCCTTGGACTGTCTTTGAATTCTCTTACTTGATCAAAGAAGCCTCTGAAGGTATAATCCCATCAACTGACCTTTCTTACACCCAATCTCCCAATTCCTTGTTCCCAGCCCTCCATTGTCTTACCTCCCTATGGCCACTTTCCACCCTTAATGCTGTCTAGGCTGCATTCTCCCTTGGCCACATGGTCCAGGTCCCTGGAGTTCTATTACCTCACAGTCCCGTTCCCCCCCCCATTCCTCACCAGACTACTTGGCCACTCCTAGATCCCTCCCACAGTCTTTCTGTATATAAAGTCCATCTTATCTCCATTAAGGTGCTCAGATTCCTGAAGAACCTAGCCAACAGCTCACAAATGTTCAGATTCCTTAAGAGTCTGGCCAATATGGCGGATCTTAAATAAGCCTATCTCTGGCTGGAGGAAGGCTTGAGTCGACTTCTTTCGGGCAGGACCTGTGTCTCTTGCTCTCGATATTTTGGGGTCCCAGCACCCCTAAACCTCTAGACCTCAACAGGTAGAGTGCAGACACTGGAATTGGGAAGCCCTGAGTTCAAATCCTACCTCAGACACTTATAAACTCTGTGACCCTGGGCCTTTCAGCCTCAGTTTCCTCATCTTTAAAATGGGGTAATAATAGCATCTACCTTCCAAGGGTCCTTGTGAGGATCAAATGAGATAACATGTGTAAAGAACTTTGATATGTAAAAGATGGCTCTGATGATGAGCAGGATGTTATGATGATGAAGCCCTCTAAATCCTCAGGTCACATGGACAGGTATCCACGCCTAGATAATAAGACAGGTATGTAGTGGTCCCTGCCCACTAAAGGGCAAATTCAGAAGAGGGAGTGATGTCTTCAGGTTGGGCTTTCTGAAGGGGAGGAGTAGGAAATAAACATTTATATAGTGCCTACTGTGTGCCATGCACTAACAACCCATTTTACTGAGGAACAACTGAGGAAAACTGGTTAAGAGTCACACAGCTAACAAGTGTCTGAGGTCAGATTGGAACTCAAGTCTTCCTGATTCCAGGCCTAATGCTCTTTCTAGTGCTCCACCAAGCTGCCCCAAATACTGTCATCCTTCCCAGAGCCTCCAAGTTGGAGGGGACAGCCTTCTGGTCCAACCCATAGCTGGAGAGGACTCTAGTCTATGCCATCCCCAGTACGTGATTCCTCCAGGTTCCACGTGAAGCCCTCCAAGGATGAGGAAGCCCATCCTGCTTTGTGGCCTTACTGTGTCCTGTGGCCCAGGGCTTCAGCAGGCAGACATGGAGGGGACGCAGGAAGGACAGAGGCCTCTCTCTGAGTCTTCCCTTTGGCACGCTGGAGAGCCGGAACCCTTTCCTTTGTCAGGTGTATGTTACTGGCCATTTGCCCCCTGGCTTCTTTGAGAAGACCCGAAACAAGGCCTGGTTCCGGCCCGGCTTCAATCAACGCTACATGGAAATCATCAGGAAGCACCATCCCGTGATTGCTGGGCAGTTTTTCGGTCACCACCACACTGACAGCTTCCGCATGTTTTATGATGACACAGGCAGGTGTCCTCCAGGGTGCCTTCAAGCTACGTCTTCTCCCTTTTCCAAGTAGCCTTCCCTTCCAAAATGCAGGGATTTCTTTGGCTGGGGAATTATCGCCTACAGGTCTCTTGTTGTTCAATATTTCAGTCATGTCCAACAATTTGTGACCCCATTTGGGGTTTTCGTGGCAAAGATACTGGAGTGGTTTGTCATTTCCTTCTCCAGCTCATATAGATGAGGAATTAAGGCAAACAAGGTTAAATGACTTGCCCAAGGTCACACAGCTAGTAAATATCTGAGGCCACATTTGAACTCAGGTCCTCCTGACTCCAGGCCGGACACTCTGTCCTCTGCAAAACCCAGCTGCCCTTAGGACTCAGGGACCTCCTACATTTCAGTTCCATAAATTATGCCTACAAATCAAGGCACAACAAGTTTGTGCCATATCATGCTGGGTGAGAAGGAAGATACACAGATCAGATAAGTAAGATTTGGGCCCTGCCCTCATGGAGGATGCAGTCAGGTAGGGGAGAATAAGACATATCTATAGAAAGACATGCCGGGGATGAGGCAAACTGCTCTGGAGTACTAGGGGAGAAAGGTCTTCACTATCTGGGAAGACTGGGGGGCTTCTTGAAGGAGGTTGGTATTTGAAGAAGGTTTTAAAGGATGAGGAAGTTCAACAGGAGGAGACAGGAAGAGGGTAGCAGCATCATTGGGAATAATAGAAGCTAAGTTATAGATGGGGGTCGTGAGGAGTTCACGTAGGCTGTAGTTTAGAGCATCTAGAGAGGACCACTATGACGTTGGGCTGGAAGAGAAGGGTGGCAGAGAAAACAGATTTTGATTAATAGAAAAACATTTTTTTTAAAAGGGAAGTAGAGTGGGGCTAGATGTCAGATGTCCTTGAATGTGAATGCCAGAAATTTGAATTCAGCTCGTCTCTGCCTTCTTCTGTAAAGGTGACCCCATCAGCGTCATGTTCCTAGCTCCCGGGGTGAGTCCCTGGAAGACAACCCTTCCTGGGGTGAACAACGGAGCCAATAATCCTGGGATCCGAGTGTGGGACTATGATCGAGACACCCTACAACTTCAGGTGTGCACAGGTGTGACCCCAGCCAACTTAACGTAATTCAGTGCAATGAGCATTGGGGTGTGTGTGTGTGTGTGTGTGTGTGTGTGTGTGTGTGTGTGTGTGTG